GCCCCGGCGGCCGCTGCTCCCGCCTCGCCCCGCAGCGAAGCGCGTAAAGACGGCGAAGGTTTCTGGGGCTGTTTTCATCCGAAGCCTAAAAAATAACGGCTCCATCCTGCACTGTTTTCCCATTTATATCAATTTATCACCACACCAGCCAGCAAAAACCGCACGGGACGCAGGAGGCACGCTGCGGCCAGAGCGGCTGCTGCTGCCCTCGAAGGCCCTTGGAGCCGACACCATTATTTAGGCAGTACAAGTTCACCACCACTCTGCCCACAGGAAAATGGTCTTGCAAGCATGCTCTGCATTGGAGAAAAAAAAAAAAAAAAAAAAAGCATTTTGAAGTATGAATTCTTTCAACAGGAGACAGCCTGAGAGAAGAGGGTTTAAACAAGAAGCACATGAGGACTCAGTGATCTGGTCACCTTGGGAAGATGAGGACTCATCTACACACACAGGACTTCCTAGCTCGCCCGATTCAGAGAGCTCTGCTACTGACAGCGTCACTTGGTGGGTACTGGACAGCCACTACGCCATGAAGTACCAACATGCAAATCCTGGGCATCCTCATTTGACAAGAATAATTATAGCAAATTTGCAAAATTCTGAAAGAACAAGGCATTGAAAAAGTTTTCTTAAAAAACAGACCTGAAATTGTGGCCTTAATAGGCCTTGTTTAAAACTCTCTGAAGCTTTTAGGCTCTAAGGGGTCCCTAAAAGCTGAGGCCAAATGGGTTTCAAAACAGGGGTGGACTGCTCAGTCCCCTGGCCCCAATACATAATTTGTTCTAAAATACCAAGCTAGATACAAGGTATGCATGTAACATTCAAATTCAACATTTAGGTTCTCTGTTTCCTCTTCACACAACACCATCCTCATAACATTAAATCTTAGTTACCTGCATTTGCAGGTTTCTTCATGAAGGAAAAAAACCTACAGAAAACATTTCCTTTCTTTGTTCTTTTCCAGGCTGTTTCAATTTTGCTGTAAATTATGTTAATGCACAGGCTTTACTCACACCAGTGAAGGCCTGTGAAGAAACAATGAATAACTGATAGTATTTGTGTGTTTCACAAGCTCAAGCATTGATCAAGCTAGTTTTACTGTTGTTTGACCAATGCACAATAGCTGTCTGCAGCACTGAGCAAGAGATTAGGCTGTCCAGACACTACAGGTAGCTAATCAGCCTTTACAAATTGACCGAAACCAATTAGATTTAGGAGAGCCCTGTATTCATTCCAAATTAGGAAGTAAGTTACCCAATCACAGGTTGTTGCCTTTTTTTTAAAGGCACTTTCTGGTCTAAGAGGGGATTAGTGCAGTCAGCATCACTCTTTTGACTTTTTAAAGATTTGCTCTCATTTTGTAATTAAGATCATGACACTTTCAAACTGCAAATACACACTAAAGTACACCAAAGCTGTAGCCAGTAACAGTTGACTTCAGTAAAGCACAATATATAGCCAGACAGAATCAAGCTATCCAGCCTCTTAAAATACTGGTAAGCAGACATGAAACAATGTTGAAATACTAAATACTTACTGCTCTTTTCCAAAACCATGATCTTTTGATAACAAACAAAATAGATTCACCTACCTTAAAGTTTGACACACACACACACCACACGCCCCTTCAATTTCAGCCAATTTAACACTAATTATTCCTTTGAATTTCTATGTTGCAAATGCAGGAATAGCACATTGCTACTTTGATGTTTCATGCACCTTTTAGATAATAACAGTTGAGCTTACAATCAAGCATGAGTGGTTTTCTAATACTTAGTTTTATATTAAGACAATTTCAAATGCATCGATTAATAAAATTCACTGTTCAGGAAGCTCTGCAAACTGAGGTTTGCATCTATGTCTGTACGTGACTTGTCTTTTCAATTTTACTAGTGGATTTGTCTGCACATTTCTTTCTACTACCAGAGATCTGGTGGGCTTTTCGTATAGGATTCAGTGCAAGAGTAAAGAATATTTAGTTGTATTATTTGCTACATAAACGCTGTAGCACATCAAGTTTATAGCACTGAAAACAGTTAACTGCATAGTTTTCAGAGATTTGCTTTCTGAATACACTGAATAGATATTTGTGCAGTTGACTTCCATTTCACTGCCCTGAAACATACCAGGAGAGATGCTGAAGCAAAACAATTTTACATCCCTGGGAATGAAGTAAGCGCATGTCTAGTTTGAAGTAACACAACTTTTAGATAGAGTTCAACTCAATCCAATTAAGTCATTTTCCATTTAGAACAAAATCAGGAAATCCCAAATCCATTTTCATTCAGCCACGCAGAAGTACAACCCCAACAATCATCCATTTGCGTAGGTAGCGCAAACTGGTCAGCGCTCATTGAAGGCCCCAGGATAAGTCTTACCTAGAGACCCTAGTTCCGTTCACAAACCCACATGCTACTTAGCAAAAACAGTACAAATTCAGCCTTTATGTTAATTTCTCCTTTAACAAAACATGGAATAGTTGGCTACAAATTTTGTGCCTCAAGTACATGAAGATAAAAATAAAAGATTTGGGTGGAAACGGGGGGGGAGGCGGGAAGAAGCCTCAGTTTTCAAATAAGGATTTTCAACATCTTAGAAACTTGGCCACATGCAATTAGTGTCTCAATCTGCTGGCCAGTTCAGGACAGAGGCAGACATACAGTACAAAACCAACTGTGTTCCTCTAGGCCATTATTCCTGTATGGTAATCTCCAGAAAACCTGAAGTTTTTGTACGACAAGGCTAAAAGTGGATCTCTATCCTAATGAGCTAGGTAGTTTAACATCACCCTATCTTAAGACACCCGTAGCAGCACAAGAGGCAGAAACCACTTCGACCATTGGTAGTAACAATTCCTTCAGAGCTTACTTTGAGGCACTTCATATGCAGTTGCACCAGACTACCTCATTTCTATCTTCTCACACAGGCACCTACCACCATATGAAGACTTGATAGAACATTACACTGCCGATCTTGTGATAAAAGTTAAATCCTGAAGATACTGACATTGAAGATTTTTCAAGTTAGTTAAGAGTTCAGCGTGACCTTCCCTGCAGCATCTGTTGTCTAAAAGTTACTGTGAGAAGAATGCAAACTGCAGCAGCTTACACCGAAATGTAAGTGAAAGAAATCAGTTCAGTAGTCCAAAGTGCAAAAATAAATACTATTCTTCCTTAAAAGGTGCTATCAGTAGTAATTAAGTCTCTGCCTAAATACACTCATTAAAGAACTAAGAAGCTTTCTACCTAAGGAAATTCTAAGGATGACCTGTTGTACAGTTACCTCTGCTACATTATTTAGCCAGGCTCTGACCACCAGATTCAGTTAAAAATACTCCTATTATAGCAGATGATAGCACAGCACACATTTTGCTCTAAGAGCACAGTACGTGAGGATGAGAGCGCATCCAGATATTGCTGGTTACATTTTTGGTTTTGTCTAGTTCCACCTGCATGTAGCTTTTGGCCAGCTAAAAGCTAATTTGATCTTGTACTTTTGATAGCATTTTTTTGCTCATTCTTGAGCTGTCCATTAGGTGTAGCAGCAGTTTTATAGTCATTGTCAGATGCTTTTATCACTAAGAGTCTGAAAGGTTCAGTTGTTTTCTGAAGTCTCTGAACAACAACAGCATTTTTCAACTTTGCTTCCTCTAGTGTGAGTGTCTCGTCTCGTAGCTCTCGGAACGGCAGCGAAGTAGTCAGTGTGAAGGGAACACTTCCCTCTGATCCTTGATACTTGGTTATGAAGTCTCTGATGTGGCTTATTCTGAGAAGAAAAAAAGAAAACTCAGCATGAGAGCAGTCCAATCCCAGTACAGACCATATGCATAAAACACATAGCCACCACAAGGAGAGAATGAGACACCTGCTTCATGTAATTGCTGATGGCACTGAAATAGAGGAATAGAGATGGGGTGGTATCCCCAAGTGCCTGATCCACTTGAGAGACAAGGACCAAGCTCTGCATGCTCCGAGAGCAATCCCAAGGGAAAAAGGATAAGCATCTTATTCTGCACACTCAAATGCTTCACTACAGCTCAGGTAGTTACACAAGCCTACCATTTTTTAACCAGCTGGTGGAGCTCTCACTTATAGCCAAGAGCTAGAATAAAGATGCCTCCAGTGTGTGGTACATGTAGCAGAACCATAATAATAATAATAATAATAATAATAATAATAATAATGGAAAAGGGTTTGCAAAAATTGTCTGGATAGCTTATGGGTTAATAACTAGGTCTAAATTTATTCTCATTCTACCAAAGCAGGTGCAGCAGTGAATTCATTACAGATTCAAGCTGCCTGTTAAAGGTGTGAAGAATCTTGCAACAAGTGAGCAAGACAGAGGTTTTGCTGTGGAAGGAACCAGGACTGACCAATTTAATTAGAAAATTAAGAAGACTGGATACATCTATACCAGTAAAACAAACATAGTGTCAATGCCCATCCTCTGATCCTGAGGCCAATTGGTAGACTCTGGCTACCAGCAAACTGTTAAACTCATCCTCCCTCTCCCCCATGCACAGGGTAGCCCATGGGGTCTACTGCCTCCTGGGAATGGCCTGTGACCTGAGATAACATCTGAATCAAGCCTAGATATTGTTTGAGAAAGTCCTAGTTGGCTTGGGGGAAAGTCATCCTAAGAGTTTAGCACAGATGACCAAGTTTTCATGCCTTAGCCATTCTCACTAGGACAGATATAGCCAGTATCTAATTCCTGTGCACACACGCCTCAATTAAGAGACAGTGCTTGGTCTTATAAGCCTAGAGCCTGAGAGACCTCAAGCAGGAATAAATTTTTTGTTGGATATTTACAGGTGTCTACATGCATTATATTGAAATTCATTGGGTCCCAAGAGCAACTCAGGCAATTAGCCACCAACTATCTGCTTCAGGATGAACAAGTTCCTTTCCAGGCTCCGTACCCGACACTCCAGGGTCACACTAACTTAGCAACTGCTCAAGAAGGGACACAACTTGATTCAAGAAATAGCTATGTGTGCTATTCCTACAGCACTGCTCTGCTAGCTCTCCTTGATTCCCCATACTGCAGTATTACAGCAACTGTTGCTCCAATGCTGTAACTTCAGTCTTCCATCAGTAATCAAGTCATTTCTATAGTAGTAGTTACTGTGGCGCATATACATTCTGTCTGCAGAAGGGTCAAAGTCATCAGTTTACCCAGGCACTGCAATATATAGGTTACAGGTTATTTACCTGTAGTTTAATTAACAAATAGTTGACTGTTTTCTGCTTCTCCACTGAAAGGAGTGTTCTACATACAATCATAATGCTTAAGGATATTCTCTAAAATATATCCTCTAAAAGGGTTTTCCCCTGTTTCTTATTAGGTCATACACAAATACTGTATACAGCACAAACATGCTGGTCCTGCGGCAAGAGGGTATGTTATGATGGAGTATTTATTGCAAATTACTTCAAAAAGAGCATCACATCAGTAAGGCTGTTAGACTTATCGCAGACTTTTTTTTTCCCCTCCAAAAGCACTTAGCAGCTGTTCAAGCTGCTATTTACCGTGAAGACAAAAAGCTTCTAAATACACTTAAATGTGTGAAACCTGGAATAATTAAGATATTAAGCTCTCCAATGAAGGGTTTATAATTAAAATAGCAATTGACCCCTCAGCAGTACATCACAATAGTGTTTCAGTTCATACCTTAGGCCACTAACAGTAATAAATTTGTACAAGTTAAAGAAAAAGTTACAGTCATTAACCTTCAGCTGCTGAGCTTTTCTTCTGACCAGCCAAAGACATACACAGTTTATCCTGACAGCAGCCGGGGTTGTATTAAATCTATGATCACTTTAAACTGCTTCACAGAGAAGCACAGTCAACATATCCTTCCCATATCATGTGACTGTACAGTACTGGAGTAATTTCTCAAATTACAAATTTGAGAAAGGTCTCTAGAGACAGTAGTTCTACAATTTAACGTTAAGCAGTTAATCCTACTTTCTCAAAGCTCCTGCATACATGTGCTGTGCCGACACCTTCTGATGTTATCCCCATTTATAAGCCTCTTCGGGAACCAGAAATTTTACTAATTAAGAATTAAACACATTGGATGCATTCTATTCAGTCCATGTTGACATGCAGGTGACAAACCGCCCCAGCCTAGTGCACTGACTCTGGCCCTCTCTAGAGGTTTCTCTGGCTCAACTCTAAATCACATCCTCCACCTCCCAGCTGTAGTGCTGTCTATGCCCAATGACTAGCAGGCTTTTTACCAAGCAATCTGCTCCAGATGTAGTCACTTTGTGAGAGATCTGTCATCTTAAAAGCCATTTCCTCTAGTAATGAGCAATACATACACCTTAACTTCCACTAACCTACAAAGAACAACTACAGTTTTCTCAGATTTTCATTTATGCTTGGTTATGTGCTCACTATTAACATCAGTTCACATTCCTCTTATGCTCCTCTCTTGTCAGCTAAAAGATTTCTCAAAATTTAAAAGGAGGTCTTCTAGATACAGCTGAACAGCAGTCCAGTATTAAGTGAACTGAGGATGTAGATTATTCATAGAAATGAAAGACTTATCACACGTACAGGCATAGGACAAATAGTTCAGATGCAAAGACATATGACAGTACTAAAATAAACCTTACCTGTGAGAAACATTGAATTTCTGAATTATCCTTTCCCCATCAGCTAACCAGATCTGGATGTTAGTGATAGGCTCCAAATCATTTAAGGGTACTAAAGGCAGGTGTCTTTTGTTGTCAGGTCCTTGATGATCATCTTTTACTTTAGAGATTATCCTTGGAGTAGCACTGAAAAGAAAAGCCATACGAGGTTATGCCTGCTGTGCGCACACGTAAGCTTGAACCTCCCTCCAGACCTCTGCTTCTGGAGCTTTCTGCCCTGTATCAGGGTGTACTGATGACTTCTTTTTTTAACAAATATAGGAATACTGACATGTCAGCTGCTTTTTTTTTTTTTTTTTTTTTTTAACAGTATGCCAATACCTTATCTTGAAGACTTCAACATGCTAAGGAATTTCAGTTTTCTCGTGTTAAACATTTTTACAAGATGGAAGGGAACTTAAATATCAAAGGATTAACCATGAATACACAAGAGATGAAACAGTCCAAAGATTCTTTGTACATTTTTTTGTACTCTAATCACACAGGTGAAACTTTAAGGGGTTTGAGTATCAAATTTGCATACTCAATGTTAATTTTCACCATAATGTGATTACAGTAATTCAGTTTAGCTGAATGTTGTTAGCCTTGATTTAGACCCCAGCATCATCTATTTCAGCTTAGAAGCATTACTCATCTATCACAGAAATTGACTTCATGTGAAAATCCAGGCTGATGCACACAGCACTTGGATTTTGTTTGTTTCCAAGGCACTTTTGACAGCTGACCCTATGATAAGGGCAGAGATCCATAAAATTACTTGACAGAATACAGGGACCTCAGTCCAAGTGTGGTCTTAAGAAAAAAAAAAAAAAATTACTGCCAAAATTTTTATTCTGAAGGAATGTCTAGGGCTTAGTGCTTCTTTCAGGACTAAGCTTGTTCAGCATGCACTGTTTAAGTCATCATAAGGCCTGATCCAATGGGCACATCCTCAGCTCATGTGAGTATAACCAGATGTTTGCTTGCAAAACAATAGCGGTGATTGAAGGAGTTACCATTTCTTCTCCGAGCTCAGCTGTGGTCACTGGCTACATGAACACTTCATGGTGGTTTGTGGAAAAGCCTTCTCTTTGCACAGAAAATTGATGAGTTACTGTTTCTTGAGAGAAGTCGGTAACTAGTGGCCATAGAGTAAGTCTTAACAATACTACATCTGCTGGTGGACAAACCCCATCCTTGCATCCTTACATTCTTGTACCTGTCTTAGTTTAATTGTAAACCAGAAAAGTCACAGCCAATTTATTATTAAAACAAAGATGGCTAATGACTTAATATATTTAGGCTAATTAAGTTAGAGCCTTGGGCTCAAGTCCTTCTCAGCCTGAGGTATTTCAAAAACTTATCACCCACTGCCTAGTTAAGTGCCCTAACTTCTAGGCTGTGAGCCCGTAGAGGCACTTTTTATTTCTTCCATTGAAACTCTGCAAAAAGAATGAGAATCAAGGAATCTCATTCCCGAATGAATGATAAGAGATGTTCACTGCAACTGAAGGCAGATGAGAGGCACAGAACTGACCTTTTTGTATTACACAGAAATCAGCTGGGGCACAAGAACTTGGCACCAACAGATTCCAAGAGGCACATCTGTAAAACATTCTGGTACTCCAAGTACAGGTGACTTACTATCACCCACCTGCCTGTACTGATTTACTTATCTCACACCCAGCTTCTGTTCATGCTTGACCTCAACAGAAAAATCAAACCCTTATTGCCCTCCAGATCTGGGAAAAACATCTTGAGCACCAGCAAGATAATATTAAACAGTCTTAGGACCAGAGCAAAAAAAAAAGTTCAAGTCATACTTCAGTCCAGCAATGATCAGCTTTTGCTGCCTACTTCATCAGTGGCGTTCAGTTCCAGGCTCAGACACTGAAGTATAAGCACTCCTGTTGTGAGCTAGCTGTCTCCAGTACAGTGGAGGCTGGGGAGGTAGTCAACCGCACAGCTGCCAGGCATCTGGTTTAGCCTGGGCTGAACTACATTTTAGCCTAGCGGTCACAGTTGTAGTCAGACAACTGTCTCAAATGGATACAGATTTTGGTGTAATTTTCCAACCAACTTCCCTCATGGTCACATCTCAGAATTTGCGGTAGGCACTAGAGATGATTCTTTCAACAGCAAGCACATGTGAAACTGAAGCCAACATGTTAAGCTAAGCTGCAAAAGAAAGTCAGAAGATCTATAAAGCCTTTCTATACTTAATAACTTTCCTCTTGTAGAACTGACAGATAAAGCCATCTAGTGGCGGGAGCTTTGACTAAAGCCACGAACCAAGAGTCTAAGTCTTATTAACCTGAGATCAAAGCACTAGCACCCCTTTTAAAGGCTTATTCCTTTTACAAGATTATCAAAAGAAGATGTAAACTAAAGATCGAAGAGACAGAAGAGCCTCCTGTCAATTTTTTGAAAAGAAAAAGGCCAAGAGTTAGGTACCATGCCTTACCCTGACTAATGCTTAAGAAGCTTGACACATGATGTTTTACCCTAATAAGGTTACAGAGCAAGCCCTCTTTGCTGCAAGGGATTTCAGTCAATAGTTTAATTAACATGCTTCTGAGGCAGCCTTTAAAATGCATTGATAAGCTTAATAGAAAAGTGTGGTTGCAAATCTTGTTATAGTCCCAAACTATTAAATGCAGCTGAATGGTGGTAGATAAAACAGAATATACCCGTTAGTTTTATAGGGTCATAAGGTATATTGGAAAAGTCTGATAAGTCTCATTTGTTTCTCCTGTACAACAAAAAGGGAGAGGATCAAACTCATCTGAGCCATCACAACAAGCATACAATTTCTAGTTCCTCCATTTTTCCTCCAAAAAAATGAGCCAGTCAACAGACAGATTCATGGTTCATCCACCACATAATCCATCCATCTGGGAACACTGGCAGAAAATCTATTAGAAAAAAAAGTTTATTTGATAAGCAGAAGTTTAGCTAGGTCATCAGCTGAAGTAAACTGTTCAGCCATTTGTCTCTCGTTTCTGATTAAGCACACAAATGCAACTGTGGAAAGGGAGTTCTAGAGATTAAAACTTGTTACAGATCTCATTCAGCACTACTATTTCCCCACAGCTTTTCTGCTGAAAGAGTAGCATAGGCACGTAATGGACATTTTTTAACATCAGGAAGTGAGCACTAGTTTATGGAGTAAAAGAACTTACAGCTTATATTTCCAACATCAGCAAAAATATTTACTCATCTTTACAGAAAAAGGCTCTGATAGCATAGCACTGAACAGACTAGCAAGAGTAAGACAAAAAAAGGCATTTTCTGTATTCCAGAATTGGGGTAGAGTGGCTGGAAAGCTGCCCAGCAGAAAAGGGCCTGGGGGCATTGGTCAGCAGCTGGCTGAATATGAGCCAGAAGTGTGCCCAGGTGGCCAAGAGGGCCAACAGCATCCTGCCTTGTATCAGGAATAGCGTGGCCAGCAGGATGAGGGAAGTGATGACCTCCCTGTACTTGACATTGGTGAGGCCGCACCTTGAATGCTGTGTTCAGTTTTGGGCCCCTTGCTACAAGAAGGACATTGAGGTGCTGGAGCGTGTCCAGAGAAGGGTAACGAAGCTGGTGAAGGGTCTGGAGCACAAGCCTTATGAGGAGCGGCTGAGGGAACTGGGGTTGTTTAGCCTGGAGAAGAGGAGGCTGAGGGGAGACCTGATCGCCCTCTACAACTGCCTGAAAGTAGGGTGCAGCGAGGTGGGTGTTGGTCTCTTCTCCCAAGTAACAAGTGATAGGACAACAGGAAATGGCCTCAAGTTGCACTACGGGAGGTTTAGATTGGATATTAGGAAAAATTTCTTCCCTGAAAGGGTTGTCAGGCACTGGAAGGGGCTGCCGAGGGAGGTGGTTGAGTCCCCATCCCTGGAGGTATTTAAAAGACAGGCAGACAAGGTGCTGAGGGACATGATTTAGTGGTGGAATGGCAGTGTTAGGTTAATGGTTGGACTTTATGATCTTAAAGGTTTTTTCCAACCTAAATGATTCTATGACAGAGCATGACAAGCAACTGAACAACTTCCCATTTAGCACTGGTTAGCAGTAGAAACCCAGCCTACTGAAGATCTTTTTGCTTCTGCTATATACAGTTTACTTGTAGATAAAATAAGGTTAAGTTCTTGACCCTCATTTGCTCAGGATTTCAGTGCTACTAAAAGCAAGTCTTGCAGCATCTCATCCATCTCTCAAGAGAAGATTTTCCCTATTGACCGTATCTACTCAAGCATGTAGCAACTGAATGGCCTGTGCTACAGAAGCAGATGAAACTGATAAAACAGATACTTGCTTCTCTGAGGCAGCCTGGAACCACTCACCCTTTACTGTTATCAGTCTCTTACTCTGCACATTATTATCTTCTTCCCCTGCCTCATCCCTTCCTACCCAGACCACACTTTCCCGCAGCACAAGCACTGGGCCTTAGCAGCAAGCCCTTTCCACTTAATCGAAACAAACCTAAGGTTTTACCACAGTCTACTAACTCCAGTGGGCAGGTCACTAAGCAGTCCCACCTGTGAAGGCTTCCTGTAGGCTCCTGATCACTTGAATGTGTTGTGTTCCCTAGGCCAAAGTCTGCTTTTATAGCCATGTAAGTCTTACACAACAGGGATATGTGAAGCAGATCATTTGGCTGGAGTAAGCAAAAGCCACAGGGATCAAATACATGAGCTCCAGGCCTGCCCCTCTACAATAACCTTTCAAAATACAGTACCGTTTGGGTATAAATCAAGTCCAGTTCTAGCATTGGCATTAGTGGCTGACACTCTCCAACCTACAAGAGAGTCATGGAATAATGGAAAGAGGATCACTGTAACACACTAAAATGTCTTACTGCAATAAATGCATGGTTAAATACTGAGGAATTTTAAGATAATGCAAAAGAACCTCTTACTTCAGTTCCCTTTATGGGACTGCCATACTCCCCTCTTCGCCCACAAAGTAATGCACATACAGCTTTAAAAGAGATTCCTTTCTCTTAAATCACAGAACAGAAGAGTGACAGCCTTTCAGCTGGAAACAATTCTGCTAATACCGAGACCTTGAACAAAGAAAGCCAACAGCATCCTGGCTGCATGAACAGAAGACAGCCAGTAGATTGTGGGAGCTTATCTTCCATGCAGCACTAATTAGACATACCTAAAAATACCCAAAATAAAAGAAAGATGTCAATGAACTGGAGCAAATTCCACTGAGAGCCACCAAGATGGCCGCAGGCTGGAGCATTCACCTTGTGAGGAGAGACTGGAGGAGAGGGGCCTTCTTCAGCCTGTGAAATAGATGGTGTCGGGGGGACACACACCTAACAGCAGCCTGCCAGGGCCTACAGGAGGTCATCAGGAGGAGGGAACCAGATTCTTCATGGTGGATGTAAATTGTTGAGACACTGAAACCGGATATAAAGAAAAATTTCTTTCCGATGAGGACAGTCCAGCACTGAAGCAGGCTGCACAGCTTCCAGTCTTGCAGGATTTCAAAGCCCAATTGGATAAAAGCCTGAGCAACCTCATCCGTCCCCACAGCTGACCCTGCTTTGAGCAGGAGCTTGGATTAGAGAACTCCAGAGGTCACTTCCAACCTGAATTATGAGATCCTTTACCGTAAGTACAGTTCCCTTCAGCTACTCAATCATAGTCACATCAGACTACTCACCTTCCTAATCTGTAACCATGTCCAGAAAAGGGATGAAACATTGGCTTTTTCGATGACAAATACACCTTATCTTTTTTATCTTCCACTTTCACATCTACCTCCTCCTTATCAAAAACTTTTCGTAGCTCAAAAGGCAGTTCCCTTAAAAAAACAAACCCAACACGTCAGAAAAGGTACTGTACTATTTTCAGTATACTAAATAGATTAATGATTAACACCTGTTCTATGTTTATCCTTTCAAGGATGATGCTTTAAAAAAAAAAACTTCAGAAGTATTTACTAAGAGTTAAGTGCATGACATACAAACAACTTCAAGATCCTGAAGTGCAAATTAACTAGAAAATTAACAATAAAAAACCTCAACATCATACAAGTTCTTGAATGATACTAAAATTTACTCAGCAGTTATCACTCCAAAGCACATGATGTGTAGGAAGTTCAGTATTGCCATACATTGCTGCAAAATATTCAATTATTTTATCCCCATAGTAAAACAAGAAGAAAAAACACAATTGGCTTTTAAAGAGAAAGAATTGCATTGAGACACAATGTGTTTAATTACAAATAAACACAAATCTCAGCTTTTAAAAATTAGATCATCGCAAATAGCTGCACTCTTTAGCACAGTAACATCACCTTGGTAATATTTATTTGCATTAAGCAGAACACAACAATGCCTTTGTCTATGAGCTCTGATGCAGATACTATGTTTTCAGATGGTGGGGCTCAGCTGGCACAGGGGCTGTACTAAGTGCTTGTCTACCAGCAACGATTATGCAGGAACCATCTTGTAATTAGCATCTTCACAAGCAAACGGTAGAAGAAAGGTGGCAAACTTTTGATGCATACACACAAAGCAAAGGGATTTAAACAGTGCAGTTAAATGCTATTATAACTAACACAGGTGACAGCCATAGAGGAGAAATATAGTGTAAAATTAGTATTTTTTTATGGGCTAGCAAAGTATGGAAAAGAAAAATACAATGGCTTAGTAATTTCACATACTTGAAAAAGAGTTATTAAATTATATTCTCAATAAAATTATATTCTCCTCTCAATTTGCAAGGGGTGAGGAAACAGACTACAAATTAGAGGCTCAAAATTACATTGGTTTGTATGTTCAATCTGTTTTTTTAAAGCAACACTGCAAACACTAGCAGAAATCAGGATAGCATGCTAACTTTTACCAGGGGGATAAAGGTAAGATTGCTATATACACACAAGTGACTGAAATAGCAAGATTGTACTACGAAAAACATCTGAAATTTAAGACTGATCAGTTTCTTGATACTACATGGAGCAACTGT